AAATGCCCCCAGAAAGCTAAGGGCTGCAAGAGCTGACAGGACCTCACCTTCTCAAGCACTCACACATCACAGGCAACTGACCGGCTCAGGAAGCTCACTGGGTCGGACTAGAACCAGGGCTCCAAACTACAGGCCAGGCTGCTAGCAGCCAGCCTGCCCCAAGCCAGGTGCTCCGCACCCCCAAGCAGGAAGGGAGCTCCCACTGGCAGGCGAAGGCCCTGAGCCTTCTCACTGTCAGCAATTGTTAAGAACCAAGCTTTGATCTCACTTCTGCCTCAACGCACCAACTAAGGCAGTGTCCAAGGGAAGGATCACTGCTCTGCCAATGTCTTCAGCTTCTCTTTTGCTTTTCTCCCAAATGATGAACAAGTCGAGCTGACAAATTCCTCCTCCCCACTGCCCCCAAGAACTCTGGGCATGGAAATGGAAGTGTGCTCTTCCCCCACCCACCCCTCTTTCTGGGTTTCTTCTTCAGAACCTCAGGACCTTGATGCGAGGTCCTTAAAGCTTCTGAGCCTTATAGGCTTCTCACACAGGAGGCTCCGTAATAGGATTGGAAAATAAAATGCTGAAACTCCCACGGTGCAGAGAGGTAAAGAGACCCTCTGGAATTTGCCTGATTCTGTTAGCTTCTGTAACGTGTTGTCACATGTGTGAACACATACTTCTAAAGGCAATTTTTCCTCCCAGGCCATTCAATAGTAGTCACTATTTTTACAGGCAAACTTACTTCTAAATCTGTCTGACCTGCCTTTAATTTGCTCAAGGTTGTACCTGCTAAAAATAAGGTGTGTTCCCTGCAGAGTGTTCTCGGTTGACTGCAATACCCGGCAGGCTTTTTGTCTTAGTCCCTGTAAAAGAGTCTGACTTCCGTGTCCCATTCTGACTTGTAACACAGAGCGATCTGTACATCTGCCAAATTTAGTACAGTACTTCACAGCTATCTTGAAGCTCTCAGATTTCATAAATCAAATATGATTTTGAAACTACTACTTCTAAAATACAAACTGACATAAAAAAATGTCCCTATTAGAGAGGTGTAACTTGTTAGTCACCCTTACATCACTGAAAACATAACACATCTTTCAGTAAAATTCAGGGAAAAAAAACTCATCTCTTCACATGTCATGAGGGCGCATTAGGAGTCTGGTATGTAACACATAAATTATTAAGCACTTAACCATTCGCAAAAAACCATTAATGAAATGATTTGTACATAGCAGGTATCCAACTCTGTGTTTATATATGCATCTTCTGAAGAGCGTGTAAGTTAGTTTATGCACATCTCTGTCTTCCCAACTAGCTATCGCATTGCTCAGAGGTGAAGGCTGTGTCTTTGACTTCTTTTTCTCCCTTTCCTGTGTAACATGGTGGTCCACAAAAGGCTAAATGTTTTTGACAGAAGGCATTCATCGTATAACCAAAACCTGTCTTTCTGCTTTCCAGCATGCCTAGTTGCACATTCAAATAACTCACCAACTGCTATAAGGCACAACTGAATTATTTTATTCTTACCGGAACTGGACACACGCCTGATCCTCTGAGAAGACAAGGCTTGATCAGAACTGAGGTTTCTACTGTCACTGTTCCATCTCAAACAGGAAACAGAAGGCCCCGCTCGGGCTTTCGGACCAGGCGTTTTCCTCAGGCTGGAGGAGTCAGGCTTGGAGGCGCTCCTCCCCACGCTGGCTGCGGGTCTTGAAGCAGAACCCTGTGAGAAAGAGAGTTATGAGTTCAGTGCAGATCGGACCTTCCTCACACCATGCTATGTGTTAGCTAGGTGGATGTGCCATTTTAATTCTCATTTTTAATAGGAAGAAATTAAAACTCTATTGGTGATGCCAACAACTCCATCTTTCTTTGGTTTCTCAAACACAGCTCTATGATGTCTGATCCTGTTCTTCTGTGCCTTTAGGACATCATGAGGCTCTTGATGGCCCCATTCTCTTTCCTCACCAGATACTCTTCCTAGATGAACTTGTCCACCACTGTGACCACCACCACCTTCACAGCATTGTAGCCAAAGTCAACATGTCCAAGCCAGCACCCCCTCCTGAGAGTTTCCCATGTATTAGCCTTCTTCCTTCACCTGCCCGCTTAGGAACCTCTACCTACCAATGTCAACAGTAATCACATCATTGTTGTGTTTTTACTGATCAACATGCAGCCCTTACAGAATGAAAAATACCATTTTAAGTTCAAAATGCATGTATCAACTCTTTTAATCCTAAGAACCCTACAAGGTTGATACTTTTATCATACCTCATTACACAGAACATGAAACAGTTCCTAAAACTACTCTAATTTTGCCCACCTGTCTCAAAACGTGCCTCTTCCCATATCCACAACATACCCAGATGCCCAACTTAAACAATGAAAGCTCTTCTGAGGTTCCTCTCTTACTTCCTCAACCTCTCTTGATGGCGTCCTCTCCCTTTCCTACCTGCCTTGGGACACGTTTGCATCATTTCTTGCCAGGATTAATGGCACTATGTCCTCAGAATCCTCTGGTCTCACCAGCTTCTGGTTCTTCCACTCCTCTGCTGAGGGTCTCTCTCTGAGGTCCAGACTGGATCAACTGGCTTGCATCTGTCTTCCAGATGAACTCAACTCCTCTTCACCAGGCCCGCCAGGCCTTCTAGGTGTGGCAGCCCTTGCCATCCTCTTCAGCACATGCCGTACCGCTCACGTCCTGTTCCCTGGCTCCCACCAGACCTACCACCTGGACTCTCCTAAATGAGAACATCCTTGTAGCTGTCGTTCCCTCCAGCCACACACTCCCCTCCAGGTCATGCTTCCCTTCGAGCTGCAGCAAGGGGCTACCGTGAGCTCCCCTAAAAGCCTTCCTTGCCAACTCTGCCACTGCCACTGCCCCGCCAGGCCTCCTCCTGAAGCACAGCAGTCCATGCTTACTCCCAGCTTGGTACTTAACAGCACCTCTGGTTGACCTTTTAACATTACCCACTGCATGAGGCTGTCGCTTTGGCCAAAGCTACATCTTTCTCTCTTTAACCCCATAATCACCATCAGAGAGTCCACCGTAGGCAGCCAATAAGTGTCCCCCCCTTCCACGTTTAAGAACTGAGAGCATGAGTCTTCCTGAGAGAACAAATTTCCACACGGTGAGCTAGCATCTGCATTCTCCCTTAACGTAAGAAAAATTGAGCCTCATAGACACTAACTCACTTGCCCGAGGCCTCTGATGATGAAGCTACAATTTGAAAGCATGTCTAACTCCAAACTCCACACTGTTAACATCTGTGTTGCATATTTCCCACTAGCACCTTTCTTTAATATGTCATAGGTGGGTAATTTCCAACAGAGATACACAAAGTCCCCTGCTGATGGCAGCTAGACATACACTAGGTGAATGGAACACTAACTTTACCGGGCAATCTCTTAAGAGAATGTGAGATCACAACACAAAACTGGTCAAGAAAAGCAGGTGACTGTACACAAACTAAGATATTCTATGTTTTCCAGAAAGCTGGCTAAGGTAATCCCTTTAAAAAGTATACCAAACTTTTAAGCAACTTATAAAAGTGAATTGTTAACAAATTAGACTTAATCTGCCTTTCAGAGCCAACATTCCACAAGATTTTGAAACCCTGTGGTTGTATGAAGCAGAAAGGGCCAGGATTTAAGTAGAGGACCTGAGTTTGAATCTCAATTTTACTACTTACCAACTATGTGTTTTAAGTAACCTCTCTGAGGCTTTAAAATGTGGCCCATAACTGCCCTGTTGTTCCTGGGAAGAGTACATGACAGTGTATGAAAAGGTATATAAAGCACATGAACATTGCTTGGAAGATTAAATGACCTAATATATGTAAGACACCTGAGCAAAGTGTTTAATCCAGAGAGGCATTCAAAAAATATAAATTCCTTTCCTTTTAGATAATGCAACATTCCTTTTATCTAACACACTACCACCAATACCTAACTTCTGTAATAGGTACCTACACTCAGCCTGCACCAAATTAAAATCAAATACATTTTTCCAAATAAGAACCTTCCTGAACTTTTGGGTAAACCCTGACCAAACAGCTATGACATTGCAGGCAGCCTAAGGGTTCAGTAAACTCAAGGTCCTCTGTAGCCCCAGACCAACAGTATGCACTGAAAATTAACATCCCTTCAGTATTTCATCAGTGATCTAGAACCTGTGGATACTGAAGTGGCCAAGGGACATAGGGGACTTAGTGAAACAAGAAGCAAGTGTTTACTCGTTCAGTGCCACAATAAGGTCAAAGGTGGTGGCCCGTGATGGCTTCCCTGCCCCTTCCCCATGATACATGGACATGTGTAAGAGGTGAGCTAATGACAGTGCACAGAATTGGGCTGAAGTCATTATCATGGAAAAAGAATGACTGGGGTTTTTTTTTAAAAATACCAGTTGATAAATAAGAGTATCAGTGCTGAAAATAGGGGAATTCTAACTGCAAGATTCCTTAGATGAAAAGTAGTGCTTCTCCTCTAAGATATTGGGATCCATTTCAACTTGATGGGCCTGCCCACCTCACATCAGTATTCCATCACGAGCCTCAAAGACAGCCTTATATTCCCATGTGCAGAACGAAAGCCTAAGACTTAATGCACACATCAGAAAAACTTCACTTCATAATTATACAACCAACTTACATTCAAGACAAATGTTAACCTTCACGCTACTTTCTCTGGCAATCAGACATTGATACACAACAAGAGTCTCCCTTAAATCAAGGATGAATAAATACATTGTTTTTATGTACATCTATAAACACCTAAATGGTTCGAATTATCAGAGGTTACACTAATTCAGCAAAATAAAATCACAAATGATATAAAACCAGTTTCCTAAGTTTGACTTTCAGAGAACTTAAAATCTGGGTTTTGAAATAATGGGCAATCTTATTAGTCTAGACATCATTGTGGTACACCATTCTTCCTGAAAAAGATTATAATAAGCCAAAAAAATTGATCTAGCTCCAGAATATCAAGTCGTTACTCCTAAATCTACCCTTACCTTCTAAAAGGACCTACCTGAATACACTTCTACAACAGCCCTTAATACTTTCTGTGTTCATTCCTCTAAGACGAGCCCTGCACACAGATGCCTCCCGGCTGCCCTCCCACCCTGGCACCTAGCTCCATCCTGGCCCAGAGGACAGAGCCCAAGAACAGTCTTTGTGAAGCTGAAAACACACGTTCGTCCCCATGGCCACACAGAGGGCTGAGGACAAGTGCAGAGCCCAAGAGTGGCCTGACAAAATGTTTTTAAAACTCAGAAAACCAGTTTCTTCATGCTATCACAAAAATATATGCATGTTTAAAGAGAAACAATTTTTGAACTGCACATGAATTCCTTTTTGTTTCAGTGGAACTATTGAGGCACTACCCTCACTCCCCAGAGTCTGACAGTGCCATAGAAAACATACTACTTTTCGCTGCATGTGAATAAAACAGGCTGTATTTATTTTGTGTGCCAGCAATCAATATATCAGGGCTGCAAGAAACCTCAGACATCTACCAGTCTGATCCTGTCACCTTTGGGTCTCAAAAAATTACTGCCCCAAGTCAAATTAGCTGACCAGAATCAACAATCTTCCTATTCACAGGAGAAAGCTCTACTTCCCAGAGCAGCTTCCCCAGCCAGAGGCCAGGAGTTATTTTTATGTAGATATTGTTTACCAGCACTCCCCAGCCATTTCTTAACTGTGGTCCAATACATGTTTTGAAGTTCATAAACAAACTTTTTTTTTCACAAATAAAAATATAATCAGATATTTGAGTTCAAATGACCAATTAGACTAGGATATTAAAGTAGCTTGTTCTTTTAGCTTGCTATTAAAAGGCACACTGGTACTCAGTATAAATATTGAACTGGAAGGGTATTTTTTCCGATATGCAGTTTACTATATGGTAACCAATTAACACTCTAAACTGTAATGACTGCAAGACAAAGAATTACTGAGTAATATCTTAACACCTGAAAACAAATTGCATACCTCATTCTGCAATACTATTAACCATCAGTGGATAACCAATTACTAATAATCTCTCAGTTTCCTCCACCATTTCCTGAAGCTGGCAAAACTTTCGCTTACCAAAAACAGGGACCCATATTCAAAGGTCTCGTTCATAATTTCCTTTTTTAGCTCTTGTTTTTCCATAGGTATTCCATTTTCTTTTTCACCCTTCTTTTCAGGGCTAATCCTGTCGATGCTGGAAGCATACGTCATTTCCGAACATTCCGTGCTTTCCATTTCAACAGGGACTATGTCTTTGACCTTCTGGAAAAGCACAGCCTCAGACCCAGTCTCACATGCTGAATTAGGCACACTGGCTTTGTCAACATCTTCCTGATTCGATTTCATGGCAGATGTTGTTCTTGGAACCTTGTACGAAGCATTTTTAGAATGAGTTGTAACACGCACAGCCTGGCTAGTAATGAGTTTATTAAATTGCTGCTTATGCATCTTGTTAATTAGGATTTCTGGTTTTGTGTCTGCATTCAAGTCAGATCTTGGTGTTTTGTTCAAAACTGTCAAGGGTCTTGAGGAAGATACTGAGGGTGAGGAGGCACTGCTTAGCTGAGGTCTGGCCACCGCTTTTGATACAGCAGGCTCTCTGGACTGCAACACCGGTCTAGACATAACCTTTGCTTTGACATTCTTGAAGTTTGGTCTTGGGTAACTTATAATTTCGGTTTTTCTTACTTTGCTACCTAGAGGGGAATTTGGTTTGTCTGCTGATTTTCCTAGATTGGGTTTAGGCATGTTCATAGGTGCCCCCTTCAAGTCTGGTGAGTTGGTAAGCTCTCGATTAGCCCTCCCCATTGCACCACATCTCTCTGTCACTTTGATAGGTGAAACAGAGAAGGTTGCGTTTGTGGGTTCCAGGACTGGTGTGGACATGCAAACTGTGTCATTTGTGCTAATAACCATATCATTTGCATCCCAACTCAGGTCAACCGATGAAGCCATCTTTTGCCCTGGGCTACTCAGTAGCAATTCCACGGTACGATCTGGGGTTCCTAAGTCCTTTCCATTGGAGGCAATTTCTGTGTCTTCAGCCACAGTGACTTCATGTTCTGGGTTCAGCACTTGGGCTTTACTGTTATCAAAAGCTGGCACCAGTAAAGGACATTCATCATCTCTAAGACAATTGGACACTGTTTCTCTAAGATTGTGGCCCATTTCCTTTTGCCTGTATGAGCTCTGTGAATGTGTCTCACTGTTTGGTTCATCTTTAGATAAACAAAAGAACTCTTGTAATACAGACCCACTGGGAACATCCATGCCCTGAAAAACTGGTGTTGGAGCGTGTATCTCTTTTTCTCCAACCAGTCTTTGCTGTAAACCATCTGCATACTCACTGGGGACCTTTCCAGAAAAATACTGACACCGATTACCAGTATCTGGAACATCAGCAGCTTGCATGACCACATCAGAAAACACAGGGTAAGTTGTGTTTTGGGCCTCAGATGCTGTGGCTTGAGGATTTCCAAAGGTGTCTCTATCATAACTTATTTCCTTCACATCTATCTTATCAGAATGGGAAGATGTATGAACGCAACAGGATAAAGATGCATTTCTAATTCTCATGCCGGTTGGCTGCAAACTTCCAGTGGTATGCAAAGACTGACTCTTTCCAACGGCATCATGTTTTATGAAGGGGCAGTTGATGTTATCCACTTTCATGTCCAATGTTTGGTTCAGCTCCAAGGCCGAGGAGTAGTCTGTAGAGTGCAAATCGTCACTGTTGGATTTCCACACAAAAGGCAAAGATGTCTCAACACTCTGGCTCTGAAATGACACTAGGGAATGACAACTGTCACACAGGAACCTGTGGGGCTCCCCTGTATGTACAACATGTGCAGAAGGCTGATGTGGGCAATCTTTGTGCATATCTAACACCTCCTTGGTAATTACACCACTTGAAGACATCGTTTGGTGTTTAAGTATTTCATCACACTGAAGGTTTAAAGAAATACTTTCACCAGTGTCCCCAGGAGAGTTGGTCTCATAGTCCACCACCATGTCATCTGGGGTGGCAGGAAGCCAGGGCCCACTGTCAGCTGGAGAGTTCCGTGGTGATCTTTGGTCGTATGCGTGTGTATGTCCATTTTTATCACTGATAAATAAGGGTTGCAGTTCATCTTCTGTCTTGTCATCTGAATTATCATCATTCATCCTGAATATTAACTTTAAACCTCTGCCATTTTATGTCTTCTTTAAAACCTTTCAAATGAGAGAGAAGGAAAAATTGTCCATCTCCCAGGTTTTTCAGTGGAGTTGAAAGCTTCCAGTCTGTGATGCTTTGAAGTTGAAACGAGTTGTTCCCTGGAAGACAAAAATGTTCAAGTAAATATGAGAAAAACTAACAAGTCACCACTTATTGGTTTTAATTACTGTTTTTACATTTATAACCCACAACTACAGATATGGGTAAAGATATCATTTTTATCAAGTATCATCACCTCTGAAAGATGCTTTTTCATTTGAGGGGATGGGCGGGAGAGAAGACGGGGCCGCTGCAAGGCTGCCCCGGGAGTCCAGCCCCTCCTGGCCCCCAGTGATTTCACGTGCCCTCGGAGAGAAGGGAGCTACATCTGATGAGAGCCGTTCCTTCTCCTTGGTTGACAGAGTGGCCACAGCCCTAATTTGCCTAGAACAGTCCCAAAGTACACCTGTTGTGCCATCATTAGTAATAACGCCCTTTTCATTTTCAGAAGGGTCCTCTTTTGTTTCCATGGACAGTGATTATCAGACAGGCTTAGCGGGTTCAGCAAATGGGCTAAAGAGCAGTGCAGATTTAGGGCATTAGCATTTCTCTTTTCCCTGGTTTCTTTCCCTAGTTCAAACATACTCTATTTCAAAGTTGAAAAGAAGAGAAAAGTTGTTGATTCTTAACAAAGTCGTTGTGTATGGAAGTTCCTAAAAATGTTAGCCACCCTATGACACTGTACACACAGGTATCTACTATAGAGAAATGAAACCGTAAGTCCACGCGAACGAACTTGTACAAAAACGAACACCATTCTTCATAAAAGCATTTTATTCATAATACATGAGAAGTGGAAGCAACCCACAGATGACAAAATGTTGTATATCCAATACAAGAGAATATATTCTTCAGCAACAGAAAGGAATGGAAGTACTGATACATGCTACAACATGGACACAACATTACAACTTAAAATATTATATCAAGTGAAAAAAGCCACTCATGGAAGACTACATATTATGGGATGCTATTTACATGAAATATCCAGAATAGGCAAATCTATAGGGGCAGAAAGTAGACCAGTGGTTCTCTCGGGCTGAGAAAGGGTAGGAGTGAAGGGAATGAGGAGTGACTGCTAACTGGGATGGTATTTCTTTTGAGGGTAATGAAAATGTTCTAAAGGTTATAGGGATGGTTGCACAACATCACATACTGAAAACCATTTAAATTATACACTTGAAAAAAAAATCATTCAAAAATCCATGAAAGCTTTCCAAATCAAAGAGTTTTCAAATAACCAAAATTTTATTATGCTTTTGTTCAAACAGGACAGCTTCAGAACAGCCCAAATGTTCAAGCTGCAGATAAGTCATATACACTTCCACTTAAATTGACTTTCTAATCCTAGTGTTAATGCCAGTCAGAAGTCACAGCCCTGTTGTAAATAAAATCCCCATTTAAAAAAATGACCTTCTCTAACCTACACGTTTGTGAATTAAAGAGTAGATCTCATTTTTCTGTTTTGCAATCTCTTCTCTGTATTCAAACTTCAGTGACCTGAATACAGGCAGGAGGATGGAAATGCTGGAAGCGGGAGATCAGTATCGTCACTAACAGGGCTCTGTGTGCTTCTGGTCATGCATCCTGAAATCAGCCTTTAGTGGGGGAAAGAAAAAAGGCTGCAATGTTCATCTCAGCAGCACCCGTGGGTGTGTGTGCAACTGCATGCACACACATGCTCAAAAACATTCTGAATCCTAAAATAAGGGAATTTTATAGCAGTGGAAAGTCATTTTCCACTGTAGCTTTTTAGTTAGTGCAGAAATCACTAATCATTTTTTTGGCTGGCAACTTAATAAAAGCTTTTATGAAACCAGTCGTTTTTAATCCTTGGGTATCAAATGTGTTCAAGCTAAATGTTTAGATCAGGAAGTACAGTTATTTGCATTTTAGACTCATATGCATGGGGTATGATTTCAAAAAGCACTAAATATGCTATTCCTTTCCATTTACGAATGTAGGAAACCCAAACAATTTTGATTTTGGACTTTAACCCCTTTGGATTTTACCACATTTGAACTTTAACTCGCAAGGTTAGGCAATCCTACAACTATTTTCCCCTAGGAATATGACAGTGGTAGAAGTTTACATTCAAATTCAGGCAGCGCTACGTCACTGGCATCTTATCTTTACCACTGAATCTCACCACACACCTCTAAAAAGCTACGTGGGACAACATGGCTGCCTATCATTTGAGATTGGGAAGAATGTAAATTTAAGCCCTGAGCACAGAGTGGCCTGGAGTTGACGCAATTACTGACCCTACCAGCATCTTCAAAATCGTAGCTGCCTATCAGAGGTGACAGAAAAGGACCTGAAGGGCCAGTGGTTTCACGGGGGAGCAGTCCCTGGAGGGTGCGAGCAAGACACTGGTGGGCCACCGGTTGCACCGTCAGCGCGATGTGTGCGGAAAACCAGGGCAGACGTCGGGGGTGGATGCTGCCCAGGCCCAATGTTTCCTTTCATGTGGGAGCTCAGTCAGTGCGTCCTTCTTGGCTTAAATCCGACCCCTTACTTTCATCCTTCCCAGAAGAAATACAGTGACACACCTGAATAAAAACGGGAAGAACAAACAGGGGGGATGTGGCCATCTGCCTGGGGGGTGAGGCCATCGCGCAGAGCACGGAGCGCCGGGGCCTCCCACTCGGAGCAGCCTGGGGTGCCGTTAGGAAGCCCCTTTGTGTCTCACACTAAGCAACGGCCTCCCAAATAGCCTTTTGTGGAGGGGACTCGATAGTTCAAAGGCCAGTCCCTTGATCTCTCCTATTTCCTCACTGGTCCAGAACCTATCAAGAAGAGGGGGGTTTTACTTATTGGGCCCTTCAGTGAATATCATTGTTTTATTTTTAAGTTCTTTAAGTCAGTCTGTGACTTTTACAAAGTCTGCTTCCACTGCAATTATGCATAAGATTTATCATTTTTAATTGTACAGCTATATTAAGCTGCATTAAGTATATCCACGATGCTGTACAATAATCACCATCATTCACCTCCAAGATTTTTTCATCCTCCCCAACTGAACCTCTGTCTTCGTTGAACAGTAATTCCCTCTTTTCCTCACACCCACCCCCAGTAATCTTCATTGTACTTTTTGTCTCTGTGAACTTGACTACCCTGGGTACCTCTTTAGGAATCACACAACATGCTGTCCTTTTATGATGGGCTCATTGCACATAGCGTGATATCCTCAAGGCTCCTCTGTGTTGTACTGTGCCAAAATGCCCTCCCTTTGTAAGGCTGAATAACATTTCATTGCATGTATATGCCACATTTTGTTTATCCATTCATTCTTCCATAGACACTTGGGTTGCTTCCACCCTTTAGCTACTGTGAACAATGATGCTATGAACATGGGGGTGCAGGTATCTCTTCTTTGAGACCCTGCTTACGATTCCTTTAGGTATATACCAGAAGTGGAATTGCTGGATCACATGGTAATTCTATGATTAATTTTTCAACGAACCATAAAATTAGTGTCCACATCACCTGCACCATTTTACATTCCCACCAGCAATGCACAGTTTCGATTTATTTACATATTCACCAACACTTAGTTTTCGGAGTTTTTTAAAAATATGCACTAGCCATCCTAATGAGATCTTGCTGGGGTTTTGATCTGTGTTTGCCTAATGTGTGCTGACGTTGAGCATGTGTTTAATACAATCTCCATGTATCTAATAGCTATTTGTATCCTTTCTTTAGAGAAATGTCTTTTCAGGTCCTTTGCCTAATTTTAAATTGATCTTGTTATTGTCAGTCTACTTTTTAAAATCATATGATTTAGGAGAGTATGTTCCTCCTCTCTGGGAAGCACAACTGACTTAAAACAATTTTAAACTCCTGTGACAGGTTCAATTATGTCTCCCAGAAAGATATTTTGAAGACCTAACCTCCCAGACTTATGGGACTTTATTTGGAAACAGGGTCTTCACAGATGTAATCAAGGTAAGATAAACTCATTCCTTATAAGAGAGGAAGTATATATTAGAAAAAGACACTATGTCAAAACACATGCACACACATATAAGACATTCAGAGAAGCTGACAAGCCCACGAGCGCATGAGGCTACCAAGAGCTTGGAAGAATCAAGGCAGCACTGTCCCTGAGAGGCGTCAGAGGGAGCGCCGCCCTGCTGACCCCCGAGTTTGGACTTTCAGCCGTCACAACTGCGAGAATCAATTCGCTCCTTTAAGCCGCCCAGTTTGTGGTGCATTGTTACAAACTAGTACAACTCCCTTCATAGAAAATCAGTGCATTGTTCAAGTCCTTATATGGATGGGTTGTTTGCAATTCAGAACACAGTTTCCATTATTAAAAAAACACACATAAACAATTGTTAGGTTCCCAGAAAGCCTATAGATGGCATTTTAACCCACAGTGGACTGTAACTATTGCCCAATGGTACTGCTATTTCCCCCAGAATGATGGGAAATACAGGCAGTATTGGACAGGGGGCCCTGAATGTCAGAAACACACATCCCTTGAGATAGCCACAGCTTCTAGATGAATAATCTTTCCTTTCTCTAATGGACAAAGTGGACACAGTAATTACTCTTCACCCAGCCACTCAAATAAAGTGATTTCATGCTCTCTGTTGCCCAGACGATGAGGGGGTCTCCATCCTCTCTTCACCCACCCCGTACACCCACTGTGCAGGTAGGACAAGGAAGATTAGATTCCCTCCTGATGTTTCTCTCCCTACTTGTAAAAACAGCAAAAGTTAAAACAGTCCCTCATTTCAAGGAGGATTAGCAGTGGAAAAAAAATTATTTGAGGTAAAGATCTTGGTATAAATCCAAAAGTACGCTAACCTTGGGATAAACCTTTGTAGGTAGCAACTAACAGGTCCCAGACTTAGCGTGATCAGAAACAATGGAAAGAGGTTTACCTTTTTATTATAAATATGATGCTAGTTTGGAACCTTAAATACTAGAGGTGCAAAGACCTTGAAGCATACGCATTTGCTCTACACCCCTCAGGATAGGCTCAGTTTTGCTACACAATCCCAAATTTTAGCGGCTTATTACAAATAAATGCCCAGGGGACTCTGCT